AAATTGGAAAAACCCCGAAGTTGCAATCCGATTGGGAAGGTCCATATGAAGTTCTTCGAAAAATTAACGACGTTGTTTATTGTATAAGACAATCCCCTAGACATAAGAATCAAATTGTACATAGTGATAGACTTGCGAAATACGTTGACCGTCGTTAATTAGAGAACTGTTCTGCTTGAGTTTTTGGTGCTGTGGTTTTTCTTAAGCTGTGGGCAAATGCCCGAACAGGAACTTGGGTTGGACCACAGAGCGTCAACTCCCAACCAAGTTCAATCTCCTATATATCCTCTACAATACTCCTTTCGAAATTTCCTGACGTTTAAGAAACGGGTCCTTTGTTTTCTGGAATGATGATTGGCTTGGGGCCTAGAGTCGTCATTGGAAGGCTGAAGATCAACCTGCTTGGAGTCAAGAGAGAAGATTCAAGAATCAAGAGACGGATCCCAGTTTTCTTCTGGAATGTTCGTTAGCTTGTGCTCAAAGATTTGGTATCTTGGGCAACCTTGGAGCCTTCATTGGTTGAAGACGGATTAACCCGCTTAGTTCAAGATTTTCTTATTATCGAGGACGACAATTATTTTTCAAAGGAGGGGGTAGTGTTACGAATGCGATTTATAATATCGAATTCGTACGTTTGTATCCACGGCAACGTCAGAATAAATATTTTTATTGTTTAGTTAGTTGACGCCTGAGCGTCAAATTGAAAGCATCACGTTTGTGTTTCAATAAAGTTTTAGTTTGTGTTATTTGTGTATTTTTATTGACTATATGAAAACGTAACAATATATTGCGATATTTTTTTATCTATTTAATTTATTAATTTTCAGTCAGTTTCGTTTCTATTAATTAACGAATTCATGCATTAAGTTGTACACTCGTACTTTCTATATTATTACAAATTGTTAAACATTCAAACAATACAAAGCATTTTTGCGAGTACCATCGATATTGTTCATTATTTAAGCCTTTTAATCTAAGGTCGTTAGTCCCAAATCTTTTCGAACATTTTTCGTACTAAAATATGAAAAACAATTTTTAAATGTTTTTTTTTCGGATTTCAATCTTAATTAGACCCTGGAATCGGACTTATTTAATATCATTTCAATCGTAAAATTTTTCGCTCAGTTCGAATCCAGTTTTGAATGTAAGTCTTCCTATTGAAAAAAATTACATTGACTTCAAATGACCTTGAAATTGAAGTTCAACATAAACATTAACATGATATGTAGATGACTCCCACTGTCCAAAACAACTTTCGTCTGAATAATTTTTTTGTACATCAACTTTTCGAGATATTCAGGTCCTTTGTTTAAAATGGGATACCCTGTATATACTCGAGCGGAACATTAAACTTTGTCTTTCCTTCCTAAAGATACTGGTAGATACAATGAAATAAGAGTTTAATGAATGTAGCACCAATGCTTTTTTTATACAAATATTTAAAATATTTTTGGAATTTTTAAGCTTATTTATAAGCATATTAAGTCATTTTACAAATTTAAATTTGTAAAGTGTTGTGCGCCTATTAATTTGACAAAAATAATTTTGTCGAGGACTTATTAATTCCAGTTCGGTGATCTTACAAAAGATAATGAATATTTTTATCATGATATATCTTAAAGTGAAAAATATACACTTCCCCGTACATGCTTTTGCCCTACTAAACTGAATATTAGAAGATGTTCAAAGATTTGTTTCTCGGTGAAAAATGGTTGCAGCTTAAAGAACTGAACGGGATTTGGAAGATCATTAAAAAAGCTTTAATTAAGTTGAATCTGATAAAAAAAATTAAAAAATAGAATTTCCAGATATAAAAAAAATATTCATTTTTCATTTGTTGTATACAATGAGTTTTGAATTTAGTTCCAAATATCGAATTTCTTAAAATCTTATCGGAATTGAAAGCTGAATACATTCTCTTAAAAACGGTACCCCGATATTGTCCACCATGGCTATGAGTGTTTCTATAAAAAAATAATTTTTTTTTCAGTGGCTAAAACATTAACCTTTTAGCTCCGTGGATGGTTGCTATATGGACCACTCTAGAGACATAGAATATTTCGTTGTAAGTTCTTAGATAAAATTTTGTTTTGTTTTGTTTAACGTCGCTCTATTCATGCTCCATCAGTGCTAACCAGCGATGCTTGCAATGTGTTTGAGAACAGAGCACGTGAAACATTTGTCAATGATGCTTGTATCAATCAGCAGGGACTGGGAATTGAACCTGGGCCTACCGAGTGCGAGTCCGTCGCCCTACCGACCGAGCCATTGCATGCCCCTTAGATCAAATGTGATGTTCTGAATACATAATAAGTAGTTTTTAAATTTCTCAAAACATTCTTGACCTTGAAAAACTCTCAAGATCAAATTTCATTTTTAGTAGAATCGAAGATTTTAAAATGTTATCCTATGCAATTTGATTTGTAGTGAAAATGAAATTTGACCTCTAAATCGACGATTGCAGTGCATCAAAATCCGTACGACAGCCTTTTTAAAACTTGACTTATACGAGAAATACTATTTGCCCTTGAAATAGAAATTTTCAAGGTCAGGATTATCAACAGATATTTTTTTATTATTTTTTACGTATTCAGCACGTCAAACTTGTAACGGTCCTATCTATAAGCTATTCTCTTATTTTCACTGGATTACTGCAAATACAAAAATTGATCACAATTCAAATGTTATTAACTAATTTAAGTAATTCGTTTTAGGAATAACTTCTACTAGTGATAAACTATTGATATATATAAAATTTTATCATTATTTTATTGTAAATATTGCACTAGCTAATCTATCACATTAGCTAACTTTATTAGTTAATATCTTTTGACTGTACTTTGCGATAATTGTAAATTATACTTAAATAATCCATATCTACTTCTGTAAATTTTACATGTTTTAGAATTTCGTTATCGCTGTTTATTCTCTTGTAAACAAAAGAAAATCGTTCGCGGCATCTGCGCTCCATGTGCGTAGCACTTGAGTAGAGAGCAATAATTTATAACATTTTTTTTTGGTTGCTGTAAAAGTGAAAGTCCATTCGGAGATGCTGTCCTTTGTCGCTTAATTGGTTTTTTTTGCGGATGGGAAAACCCAGAATATAAATACGTGCGGCAGTTCCAGCGGTGCGTGCGCGATATAATAAAAAAAAAGAGTATGGTTATCCGGCAATTGTCGCGCAGGTAAACGTTTGGTGGGAAATTCGGCACTATAACCCTTAGAGCTCTAAATGGCCCCACGAACAGACCCAATGCTGGAGAAAACTCTCTGATCCTTCTTTAGGAAGGAGGAAGTAGTCAGTTGTTCTCGAGAACTCGATCCCTGCACCTCGTTGCTCTCTCAGCACCTCATTGCTCCCTCAGCTACCTAGTTGCTCTCTCTGTTAACTTTCTGCCCTTCAGTTCTTTACCTCGTTGTGATATCTAATAGTAATAGCTTTCACTGGTAACGCTTGTGCTGAATGTGAGTGTGAGTACCTGGCTTTACATCACGTTCTGTATGAAGATCGTTTGAAAAATAAAAACTGCTTGATTTTTTTTAATAAATCTTTTTTTACGAGGTGTGTTCAAAAAGTAAGGTGACTTTGTATTTTTAAGAAAAAATATTTATTTATTTATCAATATTTATGTTGTCCCCTTCAAAGTAATCCCCCTCAGATACAATACACTTATGCCAACGGTTTTTCCAATCCTCAAAGCACTTCTCATAAGCACTTTTCGGTATAGCCTTGAGCTTTTCCTGCGATGCAGTCTTTATCTCTTCAATCGTTGCAAATCTCCGTCCTTTCATATGTCTCTTTAGTTTTGGGAACAAGAAAAAGTCACATGGGGCCAAATCCGGTGAATATGGTGGCTGAGGCATGATTGTGGTGTTGTTTTTGGCCAAAAAATCTCTCACAAGCAAAGGTGAGTGAGCAGGGGCATTATCGTCATGCAAAAGCCATGAATTGTTTTTCCACAATTCTGGGCGTTTTCTTCGTATTGCTTCTCGCAAAAGTCGCATAACTTCAAGATAATACTGTTTATTGACCGTACGTCCATATGGTAAGAACTCCTGATGCACCACGCCATGGTAATCGAAGAAAACAGTGAGCAAAACTTTGACATTTGATCGAACTTGGCGTGCTTTTTTCGGTCTTGGCTCATCTGGGCTCTTCCATTGGGACGATTGGACTTTGGTTTCGATATCATAACCATATACCCATGATTCGTCACCAGTTATGACCCTTTTGAGTAAATCTGGGTCGTCGTTGACGTCATTCAACAGTTTTTGAGCGATGCTCATGCGACGGTTCCTTTGGTCAAAATTTAGCAATTTAGGAACAAACTTCGTTGACACACGTCTCATGCCCAAAACGTTAAAAAAAATTTCATGGCACGAGTCAAGCGATATACCAACATCCTCAGCAACTTCTCTGATAGTGATTCGACGATTTTCCAGAACAATTTTCTTCACTGCTTGAACGTTTTCATCAGTTGTTGACGTGCTTGGGCGTCCAGAGCGAGGCTCGTCATTGGCATCTTCCCGGCCATCTTGGAAGAGTTTCTACCACTTGTAAACATTTTTTTTACTCAGAACAGTTTCACCGTATGCCACCGTCAACATTTCAAGTGTTTCGGAGCACTTTATTTTATTTTTTACACAAAATTTGATGCAAATCCTTTGATCCATATTTTTCGATAGCAAGAAATCGCCGAGCACGCAAAACACTTATAACCTTTACGCCTCTCACAACCAAACAAAAAATGCTATACACTTGAAATTTGGTACAGATGTTCGGGAAGAGTGTACCAACATAACAGAATAAAAAAATCGATAATCGAAAGTACGTTGCCCGTGAAATTTGAAAAGTCACCTTACTTTTTGAACACACCTCGTACACTTCATCCCTTTCAAATAATAGGATTTGTCCAAGTCTATAAAATAAGCATTCGTTTCTGCAATCACCTCCTCGTTTGAATAAAATCTTTTCCCCGTCAGCCATTTTTTCATATTAGGGAACAAATAGTAGTCCGACGGAGCCACGTCTGGAGAATACGGGGGATGTGAAACGAGTTGGAACCCTATCTCCATCAGTTTTGCGGCCACAACTGCTAAGGCGTGAGCTGGCGCATTGTCGTAGTGGAAGAGGACTTTTTTGTGGGCCAATCGTGGACGTTTTTCTAGCAACTCGGTTTTCAAACGATCCAATAACGATGAATAATATTCGCCTGTAATGATTTTACCCTTTTCCAGATAGTCGATGAAGATTATTCCTTGCGAATCCCAAAAGACAGTCGCCATAACCTTTCCGGCCGAAGGAATTGTCTTCGCCTTTTTCGGATCAGATTCCCCCTTGGTAACCCATTGTTTAGACTATACTTTGGTCTCAGGAGTGTAGTGATGTATCCATGTTTCATCTACAGTGATGAAACGACGCTTAAGGTCTTGCGGATTTTGCTGGAACAGCTACAAACCATTCTTGCAACACTTCACACGATCTCGTTTTTGGTCAATCGTGAGCAATCGCGTCACCTATCTAGCGGATAGCTTTTTCATGTCCAAATGTTGGTGCAAAATATTATCTACCCGTTCGCTCGTGATGCCTACAGTACTAGCAATGTCACACACCTTTACTCTTCTGTCAGCCGTCACCATATCATGGATTTTATCAATGATTTCTGAAGTGGTAACCTCAACACAGGGCGTCCAGAACGTTCAGCGTTTTTTGTGCTCATATGGCCACTCCGAAAAATTTGAAACCACTTATAAACCATTCTAATTAAAGGTGCACAATCGCCATAATGTCTATCAAGCTTCTGTTTAATCTCCTGAAGCGTTTTGCCTTTGAAAAAGTAATGTTTAATCAATACACGAAATTCTTTTTCGTCCATTTTTTTACAACCACTCGATTTCTTTGATTGAAACGAATGTAAAACGCAAAGTAATTGGCCGATCTGGCTGAAACTTGGTGTGTGCTCTTCCAAGATATGTCACTAACTGAAAATAACCTTGATACGCACTAGTAGCGCCATCTCTCTGACTTTGCACGGACTTTTCAAACGACCCTCGTAGACAACAGTTGCTTGTGAACACAGTGTCGTGCTTTTTATTCTGTTAAGTGACTTGGTGAATCCGCGATCGCAACAAGGGCTACTGGCACCCGTCGGCCTATCTGAAGATATGTGTGGTATCCTCTGAGGCGTCTCCGACCCTGGACAGTTCAAACAGCAGCAACTCGGCTCTACTCTTCGGGGCAACATAGTGCTGGCCGTGCCCGTGACCAAGACGTTGGCACTGTGCTGCTCTAGGAGACAACCTTTCTTCTCGCACAAGGTGCAATTAGTGTCGTGTTGTAAGCGAGTAGTTTTAATTTGAATGGCCATTCACAGGCAAAGCGAGCCTGCCGAAATTTATTAATTGTAAATAAGTAGCGTAACTCTGTACATTTATCGATAGTGTTTGCTCATATTTAGGTGGCTTTTCCCGACTTATGACTGTGGTTTTTATGCCGGATAAATACGAGCCTAATTATACTTGATAAAAATCTTATAAAAATAAATCCATGTCCTTTATTTATTCAATATTCACGCACCATATCTGTTATATTAAATTTCAAAGAACTTGATATACATGAAACTTATAAATTCTTTCTTGTAGGTAATTTGAATTTTTGTGCTGATTGTATTTAACTTGGAATTTCTACTAAAGTAATTGTTCAAAAATGATTTCGCACAATTACGTAAACAGCTCGAAGAAGGCTGCCCTACGAAAATACGCTGAATTTTGCACAGGCTAGCATTCTCTCCTAGCCTTACAAAGTAAGCGCTCGAGATTTAATAAACTTGGCTTACACCTATGTACTTTTTCTCAAGTGATTAATTGAGCAAATCCTTTCTTTCCTATTGTAATTTACGCTCGACTTGTAGAACACTTCGCCCTATGAGAAACTTGGGCTGAATTGCATCCTTTTATAAGAAAGACTTAAACTCTGCTTATGGGACACTTCGCACCATAAGAAACTAGAGTAAAGTCTATCTTTCCTTAAAATCCAATTTATATAATCATAGATATTCATTTATAATTTTATATCATAGTTAATATTTATAAGCATTTTTTTAAATTGAAACAAATTTTTACTCATTAACGCGACAGACCGCGAGAGTACGAACAAGATTATAAATATAAAGTGATATTAACATCACAAACTAAATATGAAAACCGTCTAAATACTTGATGTATAGTAGGAATAAAATTTGACATTCAAATGGTGATTATCAAGACCAAGGGCACCTGTGAGAATTTCGTTACTATTTTTTCATATTCAACGCCTGAAATTACATACAAATATCCTTTCAAATCTTCATAACAAAAGAAACAAATTTTTTTATATTGTACTTTATGTTGCCTGCGAGGCTGGTCGATATATAGACCAGCAGTCAGGTCAGCGACTCTATCTGAGATATCCAGTGATATTATGTATATATTTTACATATTCTACGAGGTCAATTTGTACTGAAATTCCCTGCAGTCTAAAGGTTAAAAACTATGCAGCCTACAAAAATATTTAAAAGACAAATGTTTGTTTTTAGATAAAATATATAATAATGTTAAAATGAGTTTATGGAAAAAAATAAATTTTTATTTGACTATTTAATATCATTATTTTACAAAAAAATAATTAAGTAACTTTTTAAATAAATAAATTTTTTATTTCGGAAAAGCTTGAAATTTAAGAAAACTGATCTGAATTGTAGACATTTTTAAAATTTGTTTAATCCAAATTATGTTCCTTAGATATAATATAATATTATATAATCATCAATACTCCGTGTGCAAAGTGCGTCTTTCCCGCACGCTCGGCAGAAAACGTGTGTTGAAAATCGCACTTTCCACACGTCTTTACACTTATTATTAACTTGTAACGGAGAATTAGCGACCGTTCCCGTCTGGGTTACTCGCGGCCGTCCACACAAATTATTTATTTGGGGATTCGGGAAGCAAAAGACGTTCCTACGACTGAATAACGCGTCGAGCATAAACACGTTAAACGCACAGATTCGAAGTCGGGATGAGGAGTGATACAGCGGCGAATAAACACAACAGCGGATTAACACACTAATTCTTTAATCGTCAACAATATGTTACAAGAAGGTGATCTTGCGCTTATTTACTACGAGCGGCACAACAACAAACGCGAACGCGAAGGTGAATCGGTAGCTGGTCAGCCTGCCGATTCCCTTGCTAAAACAAAATATTACAATCAATGCCAACAACCAAAATACTTTTCGCCATTAAACTATCAACGGGGTAGCCAGCAGGTCTGCTGTGCTACCACCCATAAGCTGGCTAGTGTATGCGTTGTTTCATACTTTTCCGATTTGAGGGTGGTATGGCGTCTTCAAGACATGACCACCCCTCTCTCTGGGCGCCAATAAGTTGGCATAGCCCACTGTCTTTCACCCCTTCGCATTCAAATATATTGGGGATCCGGAAGTCAAGTTTGCTACGACATCCCTGGCGCGGCTCAGCGAGTCGGAACCTTTTTAATCTAAGGCGGCGACCTCCTCGGAAGGAGTACCGATCTTTTCACGGTTCGATGCTCAAGGAGAGCGGAACTAAAGGTTTGACCCTCGGTTTGGGCGCGACGGGACTCTAGTTGCCCCAACGTCTACTGCGTCGGAAGCACGCAGCATACAAATCTTACGAGATTTGCTTGACCTGGTACCACTACCCCGCAGAGGCCAACCCTAAATTGGGATGTCAGAGGAGAGACTCAGCCAGGACAGCCAGAGGAAGATTCCTGAGACGATCAACCAACTAAGCCTTCCCTCCTGGGCTCGCGTTCAAAATACATCCCACCCTGCGTTCCTGTATTAAGGGATTTCTCCCACGACTCACAGGTCCATCGCTTCGACGTGCCGGAGCATGTCTCCCCATTGCGTTTCGGTCGAACCCGCTCACGCTGGTGGGTATCCGTCATTCGAAAGGTTGTTTTTATCCCGTTCCGTCCCAAAGTCAGATCTTTCAAAACTCTGTCGTTGGGTCAAAAACGGGGTTCATCGCGTTCAAGTTCGACATTTTTTATCGTGGTCGCTATCCACGGCCTTTATTGCTTGGCAAGCTTAGCCAGAGCCGCCTTTTGGCCACCCTTCTGGGTGTTCACCGCGTCACCCCGTTGAGGCGGAGCAGTTGGCACTTGTGAGATCTGCCGTTCAAAGAGATCTCGCTTTAAAACGCGGCCATAAGCTGGCGTCCAAATATGCAAGAGAGAGAGAATCAAGAGAAAAATACGGCACCGGCCTCGACCTTCAGCCTCTCCGACGGCTAAAGCACTCCGCCGTGTGACATCACTGGTGTGCTCCTCGCTGACCGTCTCGCTGATGTTTGTTGTCGTCGCTGTTTTCCTCTCTTTCGTCCTCTCGTTCACTGTATAATGCTACTGCCTCAATCCGTAGCTCGCTCGTTGATTGTTGCTGCCGTTGTCTCCGCCACCTCTCTGTTGCTCGGTACTACAGCACGTCCAATACTGCACGCGCGCGCACCCGCGCATCTCGCCGGTTACCCACAGCACCGGTGGCAGGTATCCTTCGGGACACGGCTGGGCGCGACCCAACTTTGGAAAACCGTGTTCTTTCCATTTGATCCGCGCGCGCAACTTCCTCTGCTCACAGCGTAGCAGAGACTCTCCCGAATTTTCCGTGGCGATCTGCGATTCGAGCGCTCACTCTCTCTCTCTCTCTCTCTCTCTCTCTCTCTCTCTCTCTCTCTCTCTCTCTCTCTCTCTCTCTCTCTCTCTCTCTCTCTCTCTCTCTCTCTCTTTCTTCTGCGTCATCTCCATCGCTCCAGTTGTCAGCTCAGCCCGTGTTCAGGACCTCGTAAACAAAAACCAAGCATGAATGTACGAGGTGTGTTCAAAAAGTAACGAGAATTTTTAAATTTCGCGGGTTTGGAGAGTCCGCTTGTATAAAATTTTTTTTTATTATGTTGGTACACATGCCCCTGAAGTACGATAAAATTTTCAGCAATATTCATTGCTTACTTTTTAAGTGGCAGCCGCTAACGTTAGACGTGTTTTTCGAGCTCGGCGATTTTCGTTTGTGAAAAAAAATGGATCAAAGAATTTGTATTAAATTTTGCGTAAAAAATGAAATAAAGTGTAGTAAAGTTTGTCAAATGTTAACAAAGGCATATAGTGAGTCTGCTATGAGTAAAGCAAGGATTTATGAGTGGTATAAGCGTTTCCAAGATGGCCACGAAAACGTTGAAGATGACGAACGACCCGGACGCCCAAGCACATCAACAACCGATGAAAACGTGAAAAAAGTGAAAGAAATTGTTATGAACGATCGCCGAATCACAATCAGAGAAGTCGCTGATGATGTTGGCATATCAGTTGGCTCATGCCATCAAATTTTTTCGAATGTTTTGGGTATGAAACGTGTGGCAGCAAAATTCGTTCCAAAATTGTTGAATTTCGAACAAAAACAGCGGCGAATGGAAGTTGCTCAGGAGTCGCTAAATAAAGTCAATAACGATGCAGAACTACTAAAACGTGTTATAACAGGTGACGAAACATGGGTTTACGGATATGATGTCGAAACTAAGGCTCAATCGTCCCAGTGGAGGCATTCTGGATCGCCGACACCGAAAAAGGCTCGACAAGTGCGGTCGAATGTGAAGGTTATGCTCACTGTGTTCTTCGATTTTAATGGCATAGTGCATTATGAATTCTTGCCACAAGGTCAAACAATCAATAAGCAGTACTACCTACAAGTTCAACGTCGTTTGCGTGAAGCAATCCGAAAAAAACGCCCGGATTTGTGGCAAAATAATTCATGGCTTTTGCACCACGATAATGCGCCTGCTCACACTTCATTGCTTGTTCGTGAATTTTTGGCCAAAAACGAAACTGTAACGATGCCTCAGCCTCCATATTCGCCAGATATGGCTCCATGTGACTTTTTTCTATTTCCAAAAATAAAGAGAACATTAAAAGGCCGTCGTTTTACAAGCATAGATGACATTAAAAGCGAATCGCTGAAAGAGCTAAAAGCTATTAAAAAGATCGAGTTTCAAAAGTGTTTCGAGGATTGGAAAAAGCGTTGGCATAAGTGTATTGTATCCGAAGGGGACTACTTTGAAGGCGACAACATTAATGTAGATGAATAAATAAATATTTTTTTCATAAAACGAAAATTCTCGTTATTTTTTGAACACACCTCGTATGTACCACACATACACACTCTCAGCTTGGTGCGGCGCACGGACATTTGCGAGAGCCAAACGGACAAAATCGGCCTAACCGAGATTCTCCGTTACAAACTTAAAACTAATATGGTAGTTTAGATACATTTTTTATTAAATAATTTCACTTTTTCAGTATTCTTTTTCACTAGAATCTAATAAGTCTTGATCTTGCTGTGGTATAATTTCCTATTATGGCATTGTGGTCCATAATGTGTTTTATTCTTTCGCTGTGGTTGAATCTTGGTGGGCAAGTAAGTCCAACTGCAC